ACATAGCATGCACGCACCGTAAAGTTTCGATTTTGTACAAAAGTTCCACTAAAGGTTAAAGATTTATTAAATATTATAAATTTTCCTGATTTTTCCGAACTCGAATAATATTAATATAGGTACATGCTTGCAGTTACGTCACTAAGCGCACGTGGATTTCTTCTCATCGTCGAGGCTCGCGGTCTGTTTTTATCGCTGAAATGTATATAAYAATAGTATGACCGCGATAATTTCGTTACATAAAGCGTTTATATTGTGCACGCCACACCGCACACAAACGCATAAAACATATTTATTGTTGTATTCATAAACATAAATACTTATTCGCATATTTYCAAATGGTGGCGGCGGATTGTAATATAAAACGACTTCGAGTCGTGGTGGTGGATCGATAGTCGCGGGGAGGGGTGGGCAGACTTCGGTCTCGGGCGTGCGGGAAAGACTTTGCTTTTGGTTCGTTCCCGGCAAGTGCGGCGGCGGCGGTAGCTAGCTATGGTATACTCTTGCGCCACCACACGCAGTTCTTGCTGCTATATACGCGTCGTCATCGCTGTCGCCGTCGGTTCTCGAATGAACGAGACGACGGGATAGAAACTCGGCAAATAGTATAATAATACAAAACGACCACGGAAATAACGACTGGCAATCGAATACACAGGAATTCAGCGTGTGTATATTTTTATATATATACAATAAGAGATGTAGTTCAAAAGACGATGACGAAAAAATAAACGCAAAAATAAAACCCCGTCCAACGCTGCCAGCCGACAGGAAATAATTTTTTCTATCGCCCCCTCTCGCGTTCCGTTTGTTATTTTTATTCGTTGTTGTTTTACATTTTTCCGGCAAATATGTGACGCAATCAGACACGTGAAATTTAATGCAAACTCAATATTGGACAGCGAAACGTCATTGGAAAAACAATAAAATACGAGAAAGCCATACATACATACATAGTACATACATATATATATATATATATATATATATACATATATACATGTAAGATATTCACGTATGTCTACGAGAATTTTGAACTAGATGGAAAAAAAAATAATATAAAACCTCATAACACGATACAATCTCGTGATCGTTCGGATTGTATGAGACTTGTAATATAATAATGCTTAATCCAAGAAAAACTTAAAATCGTTCATAAAATAATCATGAACAATAATTCCAGAGTTCGTCTTTCAAAATATTATATTCCACGCTGGGTCATGACACCGTTTCGGTTTATGTTTCGCAAAACCTAAATGCTATGGACACACGTGTGTTCCATATGCATTTCATAAATACATACATCATGTTACATTATTCAACTAGGCACGTTTGTTCTGTTTATTTGATCGCGTGTATAATTGTGGATATATTTTTGCACGTCATTGCAAATATTTTAAAACCATCCATACTGTCACAAATTGCTACATATTCGCAAAGAAAAATATTACATGTATACTCAAATGAGTTCGTAAACGGTATTAAGATGGTACGTACAAAATTAGAATAATTATTTCTCAAAGTATTTTAAATCTAACCAATGTCTTAAAATGTGATGTTTAAACAACTCCTTMTTGTTGTCTTTAATCCGCAGTTCAGTAAACCATGATACCGTGCACAACATTTTACTCAACTATTGAGTCTGATGATACTAAAAAAACTTGGAAAAATATTAGTGTAAATACTTTGAAATAATTCCTGAGAAAAACTTTTTTTCTCGTAATCCTTTCTTACTCGGGTTTCTCGGCTTTCCTAAAATACTTTTAAATAATCTTTTTTGAAGATTAAATGAAACAAAAAATTATCATAATATTAAATTCAGCAGTTTATACAATTTTAATAAAGTTCTTCATTAAGTTAAAAATAATAAGATATATTTTTTTCACCAAAATATAAGTTTTTATAAATTGTACAACTGTCTTAAGTCTTTCTAGTGATCTTCGTATTCAATTAGGAAAATCATTAATTTATGAACCCACTCGTTAAAAAAATGTATCCAATCTACAGTATTTTGAAAATGAAAATATTCATAAAAACAAATCAAAAACATTTTTTACCATCATAAAAAAGTATTGTTCTCGATTAAACATAATATGACCATTGACCATTGGAGATTCGTCTAAAAATAAAATTGTGTCGATATCAGAATTTGCATAATACTCGTATTACAATCAAAATGTTTCCTTTGGTCAATACTTATATAATAATATTGCAGGTTTGTTTAAAAACTCATTTTTTTTTTTTTTTTTGTATACAGTTAAATCATAACATTATTCTATTTTCTTAATAATATACAATTAATAATAACACAAATCACGGATATTCAATTATGAACCAAAAAACTCTAAACTACACTTGACCCTGGATTATAAATAGTTATAATTTAAGCTATTTTTCAAAATTCTCTTTCATATAAATTAGTTGGTGATATTTAATAACAAAAATAAATTTTAAAATAGACTAAGATAATAAACAACAATTAAATAAATGGTTAATAATAAACAAATAAATAATAACAATGATCTGATGAATTGGTACATGGTATTCCATCTATATTATATGATCAATTTATTGTTTTGTTATTTTTTTTTTTTATCAATTTATAGAAAATAAATGATCTAATATTATTTGAAACCAATGATTTTGTCACTTTGGGAGTTTCAAAATATAAAAAAAAGGTCAAAATAAAATCTGTGTCATTGGTAATACATAAAAATAAATTAATTGTATCATTTAAGAACTCGAAAAATGGGTTAATATAAAGGTTGGTTCAATGATGGTCGTGTAAATCAATAGTAATTTGTTAAATGTGAAACAATGGGTTTTTATAACAAAAGAAAGTATTATTTGACAAACCGTTAGTGTATTTTCATGTGGATAAAAATATTTTTTCTTAAACTTGAATTACACGCAATTRTTGTGAAACAATTAAATAAAATCTGATAAAAAATACAAATGTATAAATAGAAAACTGTCACTGCTATGTTATTGAAATATAATACTTAAAAATGAATATTATTTAATTACGAATTATAGTGTAGATCCCCGTAATGTAATATTATAACTAAACAAATTTCAAGACGCCGATGTAGCAATATTGCATAATCAATACGCCGTCTCATTGATTTTCATTATATTGACGTTTCTTGTTTTATATACTTGTAGATCAGTAAATGGTATCTCTATGTTGTTATAACATTATTCTACCAACTAAAATTCACAATTTAATTTGTATTATAATTAAGTCTGATTTATTCAAGTAAAGAGTTTCACACAACGTTTGTACCCGTAAAAAACGTGTTGACCTTCTGAATCTTACAAATTATTAATACGGTATTATTTACGGAATGTATTTAAAATGTCTTATAATAAATAAAATTATAAAATATTGATGAACAAATACTAAATAATTGTGTATAATCTTATGAATTATGTGATAATTAGATTCATATATTTTGTGAATGTATATACCTAATTATAATCATTAATGAAATAATTTCACCGTGCATGAAAATAATAAAATAYTAATTTCGTAAAACGTTTTCCATGTCATACATACATTTTTGGTATATCAAAATTAATGTTAATTTTACGAAATGAAYTAAAAATATAATCCATATAATGTTAAAAAAAAAACCCCCCGAGAAAACCAATCTGCCGTATAGCAGCACATATGTGTCGAGTTGGCGAGTGTACATCACCATTGAGTAGGTTACTGTAATGGAAGTATTAAACTTAAAGTAAGTCATCAACCATTTTATACGGGAACTGATTCTGAGCACAGTGAGCATTGATTTGAGACAGTTTTCAACGTATATTTCTGAGGATATTTTCATAGAATATAATTTATTTTGTTGAAGGGATTTTTGTCAAAAACAAATTTGCAAATATTATAAAATTATTATTATGATATTATTTCATATAGTAATTATACATGCTGCAGTTATTAACCTATTTKTCATTACTAACATACCACAAAAACCGTATAGGTGGGTACCAATAAATTCGTGTAAATTCAATAAGTCCACACCACTAAATGCATAAAACAAGTATTGTATTTATAGAAACCTTTATTTTGTTTTAAATTATTTAGGAAATACGCAATCTATACAGTTTTGATTACAAAATTCCAAAATCAATATAATAATTAATATTGTAAGTTTACACTATAAGTGATTTTAAAAGATAGTCCACCAACAAAATTTACGGGAATGTTCTGTTCATATATGATTGCAGTTAATTAATTTAAATAGTTTATACTTTAGGATATCATTGGCGTTTCATTGGAAGGAGGATACGAAGAAGATAAATAGTGGTTATAACTTATGAGTCGAATTTTCGACGAGACACTTGATAACTGTGGTTAAAAAAAAAATCAAAGGCGTTTAAGGAGATTTGAACTCTGTTATAAAATGATTTGGGGAGGTTTGATCATATTGGTGCTCTGTGATTATTAGCATAAGTTTGTGAGTATGAGTGAAAGGTTCAATAATTACGGCATAAGAGTTAGTTAAGGAAGACTTCAGTGGAGCAGTTTGATGCGACCTGAAAATTCTCATTTTAAGGAGGTGGTTTTATTTTAGGGATGATGGCGACGTTAAAGGTCTTTGTATGTTTGGCAGCCTTTATAACTTTCCGAGTGATTTCCCTTACATAGAGTTTGAACTTTTGATTTTCAGCAAGTAGTTGATAAATGATTTTCTCACACGTGTCGGTGTACAATAGTAGGTAACTTTTATTTAAAAAATTTAACACATATTAGACATTATAATTTAACCTATTATTAGATAAAACATAAAATAAGTGTAAAATATTACATTTTAGTGATTTATCATAACAATTACTATGTTAAAATTTTACTACAAACAACGTATCAAATTTATGCGCTAAATTAATGATCAAATCAAATATTTATTTGGTTTTAAACTAAGAATGAAAATTCTATTAAATATGTTTTTAAGCAATTTAGTGATTTTAATTGTACTATATAATGTTTCTAGGTAGTTATCAAAACGTCGACGTAAAATTGAATCAAGAAATGATCCCAGGTAATCGGTTTGAATGTTTAGGCTAACTAGTGATGTAAACATATGACCTTGTACATAATCCTTGTAAAATACAATAGATGAAAACCGGTTTTAAATGTAGTTCTGATTTTATTGATTATTTTATGTTAGTAGAGCGACTAATGCTCTTTAGAATGACAATGTTCTGAATGAAAGCATGCTGATTTTTCATGTTCCTACTTGCATACTAAACAGACTTTCTTATACTTTGAAATTTTTATGATTTTTTTTAAGGCCTATTCATAAAGGAAATGTTATGATATAATTGTAGCTTATATTTACAGGTTAAGATAAAAAATAATATAAGTGGCTATAATACATTTTCAAATATAAATTGATATTTAAAAAAAATATAATACATCAAATTTACTCTTTTAATCTGAAAATCTACATTGAACAATTATTTACACAAATGTACATTTTATCCTCTTTTAACTTCTAATGATATATATTTATTCTATACCATATTTTAGAATTATTATTTTAATTTTAAACACTTTTGTTTTATAAATTTCATTTTTGATACAGTAACTAATTACAATTATAACTTATAAATAAGTCTTCAAACTTTAGATACACGAAAAAGTTAATAATCAATTTACCAGAGTCCTTTATCATTCCACATGGCTCAAATACATTTTTAATATTTATAAGTGTTTAAATGTGTTTTAAGCTTATAAATAATTGATTACCTATTTAAAATTTAAAATTTGTATGCTATAATTTTAAAAACAAAAATAAAATGAATAATGGAAAAAAATATTTTTAAAACGTGTATTCTTTACGATATAATAAACAAATATTTACCTATGCAATATTATTGCATTTAAAATAATATTACAAAAAGTTTAGGATAATATTCTATCCAAAATTGATTAGATATCAATAATTGGCGTTTCTAATAATATTTATAATTCATCTAAAATTTAAATTTTTTTAAGCATGTAGTCTTTATAAATATAGTACACAATGTGATTAAATAAATAATAATAATATAGTTATTTAATGAAAATATATTTTTTTAAATTCTCAGATAAAACCTTATAAGCAAATTAGGGGTTTATTAGTTAACATTTTGACTTTAAATAATAGCTTTAAAATAAGTTAAGATATTTATTTATAGAATCTATATATATAAAAGTGAATATAATTTATCGTAGTTAAGATGTTGAAACAATGTCTATTTTTAGAATCCATGTTTATAAATGGCCATTTAGTTTCAATTTTCTGATTTATAATTAACATACAATTTAAATAACAACAAACTTATTATTTTATTTTATAATACAATTATATAAACTAACACCTGTTGAATATATTTGGTCCTGATTTAAGTGTTTTTTTTTTTAATTTAGTATTAATTTTTAACCCGTGCTTTATCATGATTTKTATTAATGACATTGGCAATTTTAAATATTATTATGTGATAATTTTGAGTTGGCTATTCAATATACAGATGTATATATTATTAATTTTATTGAACTTTATTATGAAATTCTAAAAAGCATGATTAAAATATAAATATAGTAATATAAACTAGTATTAAGTATAGAGTATAGAGATATAGCCAATGGATTAGGTTTAATTCATTTGTAGGCTATTGGAAATAATTATTTATAGTTTAAAGTAGGTCAACCCAGTTACATCCAAAATAAAGTAAAATTCTCTCTACTTAAATATTTTTTTCTTTATGACATCATAAGTATTTATAGTAGATAAATTTTCGTTTTACTAAAAATCCATAAAGCAGTGTTTATTAGTTTTTATATTTTTCGAACTTAAGTTAATATTTTTGAGGTATATAATAAAGTATAAACTGTACTATTAAATTTTATGTAATAACTATAATTCGTGTTTAATATTTTGTCATTATTTCTTTTATAATACCTAACTAATGAAACTTATTTCAATTAATTTTTTTTAAATAACCATTTTTTTAATAATTAATATTTGATAAAAGGTTTAGATTTATTATTCTAAGAAGATATATGCTTTAACTTCTATAGACTATAAGTAATGTTCTTAATTTTAAATTATTCTGTAGTTATCTAGTGAGAAAATTAAAGATTAAAACCCAAGAAAACTTATATAGAGCAAGTGTGCCTCACAATAAAATATTTATAACAATTAATAGCTTAAAGGGTTTGTAGAGATGAATGAATCCTAAGAAGAGTATTTGAAAAAACTACAAACAAAACATTAAATCACCGTAACAAATAAAKACCATTCAAATATTTATGTTTCCACTCGTTCACAAACCTTAAAATAACAAATAAACATCAAACAAACAATTAAAATACTTCGGGTTTTACTTCCGTCCTATACATTAGTTTTTCATTTATAATATGTTTATAATTGTTGCTCGTGATTTAATATCTTTGGTATGTCAACAGAAGTAGGTACATTAATCAATAATATCTATATAAGAGAAGTATGTGTAGAAGCGGAATAAGTGAGCTACTGAGATTGTATTTCGTATGATATAAATAAAATTATATTAAAACCATTCTGCTTTCTACGTAAACCTATGAACTATGGAGTTATCCGCTAGTGGGTTGCGACATATTGTTTAATAATATAATCAACTGAAAGATCCTAGCTGCGTTTTACGCACATAGTGTGTACRTATAAGTTACAACATCAAACAAAATATTTATGGTATTTTTTTTATATAACATTACCTCAAGAGCTTAAAGCTGTATATCCTAATAATATCTTTCTTTAATTCAAAATAGGCTATAATAAATCACGGGAATTCGAAGACCAAAATACCACAGTGGTGGGGGCAGGAGAAATAAATGAAGCCAAAAATGTTGCACAACAACAGTATAACCTACCCTTATAATAGATGTTATATAAACTAATTTTCGACAAACTATTTATAACCTGCTGTTTAACCCTTGAACAGGTAGGTAGTAGTATTACTCATAAGTTATTCATGCAAAGTCTTTAAATTCTTATTTCGTTATATTTTTACCCCTGAAAACTAGTTTTTTATCAAATATAACAACTTGACCCTTTAGAAATGACATAATTACTATTGCCGTTACGAACTTAACATTTATTATCATCTATGTCAATGCGAACACTTTGCTAATTGAAATTGCATAATGAGAGGTTAAAAAAATAATGTCTAAATAAATGTTTGTGAGTTGAAAAAATATACTTGCAAAATTTATAATATCATAAATAATTGTAATCTGCACTTATAGAATTCATAAATTACCATCAATCTGAACATATTTTTTTTTTAATGTAAAAKAAATTTATTAATACAATTTTAACCAATTTTAAGTTCAACTTAATGAAAATTACATAATAAAAACATTAATATTAATAAAATTATGTCATTATTAAAACCAGACTCTTACGATTTGAGTTATCATATAAGCCTGGCTTATAAACCTCATACATAATATATCCCTAACAACTTTTAAAAACATAAATATTTATGTTTATTATTATTATTTATGGTATAAACTTTATTACATTAATAATAATCAAATGGTAATTTAACTAATTTTTATTGTTATTATTACTAAAATCCAATATATTTTGTTCTCTAGCAATCACTACATTTTKTGGATAAGAAAATGGCTTCTTATAATTGCTAAAAGTAATAAACACTTTCACATTAATGTTATAAGATTGATACTACCACCATCATATCATACAAATTATAGACTATACCATAATATTGATATGGTTGATCATGCCTTGAATATTGACTCTTTTTTTCCAAAGGAATTATTGGTGTCATAAGTATTGTTGTTAAATGGGGTCATAATTTAATAGTTAAAAATCTCATACTTATTCCATTTTAAAAAGTTTCTGATTTAGTTAAAACGGTTAGAATTTATCTAATTCATGACTATATTTAAATACATAGTAATTTTATTTCAGTAATACAATAATCATGTAAGAATAAATAAACATAATGTGTCCCCATAGCTTTAAGATCAATACTCTATGACTACTATTTTGTATTTTGTATTTACTACAGGCTAATAACCTCAGGAGTTGAAGCCTTATTTAAATAAAAATAAATAAATAAATAAACAATAAGCAG